AGAGGGGCGGGTACGAGGAGAGATAAGGTACATAGAGGACACCGGAGAGAAAGGGAGGACAGCACATGCAGGCTCGACAGAAAAAAAAAACAAAGAAAAAAAAGGGGGCGGAAAGCTGGGTGGTACACAGCGAGAACAATCGAATGGTAAGAGAGATGCGCTGACCCAGATGTTCCACCATGAATGATTTGACAGGACAGGATCAGAGAGATTGGTTAGGTGAAGGCACAAATAAATTGATACGGGGGGGGGGGGGGGGACTCCTATGTTTTGCATGCCCCAGCGATTAAACCATTGACCACCCGTCCTCGAGAGTACGGAGCAATGTTCCCACAGGATCGATCACCGATGGCCAATCGTTCCTTCCTTCCTACTTTGCCAAAGGTGGATCAAAAATGTCGTCCCTAGTCTTATCTATCCTACTGATACCACTTCCCGCCTTTTCAACCCACTTCCTATGCCCCCGTACAGCTAACGTCTCCTCCTGGCTATCCCATGCCCCAAACATCTCCCTGTTACGTTTCTTTTGCTTTTCCCAGCTCGGTCATGTACACTTCCCTCTCCTTCACGTACAGCCGACATTCCGCGAAATTGATAAGGGGGGGAGGGGGATTCGCGTGCGGGCATGGAGGCGAGAAAGGCGCACAGAAGCGCACGGGAGTGACAACGGCTACAGAAACCACGGAGAGGGGTACGCACAGCACCAAGAGACCCGAAGAGAACCCCGACAAACAGACGAAGAACGTGCTGCTGCTGCTGCTGCTGCTCCAGCTACTGCTACCAATCCTACAGGCCTTGCTACTGCTGTGCCCCTGCCGCACCGACAACCTCCCACCGACTACGAGCACTCCATCACACAGACTTCATCCAGACAGTAGTGGGTACATTTACAAGACCATCATGGTAAGGTGTCGTAAGAGCGGTGGCATCAAGTAACCCCTCCAGTCTGGAAACGCATCACGCCAAGGCCAGCTCCGTCGTTCCCAGCTAGTTCCCACCCACACACAACGAGCAGCAGTCAAGCAGTACCGTACCCGTACCTTCCTCTTGAGGGCGCGGATCTCGGAGTCCTTGTCCTCGATGGCGATGCGCAGGCCCTTGATGGCGATGGCCTTCTGCACGAAGATCGACTCGTTCGTGTCCACGCGCAGCTGCAGAGCCTCCGTCTGCTTGCGGATCTGGGCGATGTTCTTGGGGATAGCTGCCGAGAGAGTAGCGGGCGCGGCGAGCAGGCAGAAAGAAAGACGGACATGCGCCAAGAAAAAAAACAAGACGAGGAAAAAAAAAAAAACATCAGGAAAAAAAGAAAAAAAGAAGAAAAAAAAACGAGAGATGGTGCGTGAAATGGGTTTGTCGTCACGGGTACTTCCTTGCTTTTAATCGCCCGTGCTTTGGTGTTTGGTGTGTCCTCACACTTGCCATCCCTTCCCACCACCGAAATCGCCCACAAAGTCGCCAGACATCTACTACTCACACTTTTTGCCATCTCTTGCTGCCACCACATCCACGCACAGGTCACGAAGCTGTCTATCTAGAATTCTACTCACACTTGTACGATTCCGCCTCGAGCAGCTGCTGCACGCTCGTCCCCGTGCTCCTCTCCGCCGGGGTCCTGCCCAGACCGTCCGCCGCCGTGGGGTCGGCCCCCTTGGCCAGAAGCATCGTGATGATGTCCACGTTCCCGCTGCTGCAGGCGTAGTGGAGGGGGGTGTCCCGGTCCTCGTCCACCGAGTTGGGGTCGGCGCCGCCATCGAGCAGCATCCTGCAGATACATATGTGTGTTAGTGCGGTGGGCGTGTGGCCGAGCGTGCCGGCGGAATATCCCAAAAAAATGTCCGTCTTAAGAGGGGAAAAAAGACCACGAACCACCTTCTTCTATGCTAGCATGGGGGGTAGATAAGCAACAAAAATGGTGCGCACGGGGGGGGGGGGTACCGTATTGGTGCTAAACACCTTGAAACTCCGACAACGCTTCTTCTACTGCTGTACAGCAAAGATAAAACGGGCGGTGACAAAAAACGACGGCGTGTGTATCAACTACTACAACAATCGACGGGGTAGCGTAAACATGTAAATCACCTAACGATGTCGGTGCGGCCGTTGAAGGAAGCAACGTGGAGCGGCGTCATGTCGTTCTTTCCCTTCTGGTTCAAGTCCCCCTTTCCCGAGATGAAGCTCTTCAACCCCGCCACATCGTTGCGCTCCACCGCCTCGATCACGTCCACCCCCAACTACAGAAGTGCAGCAGGACAGTACGGGAGTGTTTAAGAAGAAACAGTCATTCACACACATGAATGGAGCGACGCAGCAAAGTTGGGGAAAAGGGATCAAACCATGAGAAGCTGCAGAGCATGGGACGAACAAAAAAAGCATCGCGAAACACACTCAAAAAACGTAATTACATGGTAAAGAACAGCACAAGCGGGAAATACACATTCGGAACGACGTGTGAGAGCTGGAAAAACACGCGGGAAACGACCACCGTGATGTGACGACAGCAGAGCACCAACAGAACCAGCTGAAGAGGACAGCGGCTGCAGCGAAGGGTGGGCGACGAGAACCAGACGAGCTGCTGCCCCGTCGCATCAACAGGAAAACAACAACAACAACAACAAAAAACACGAGCTTGCTAGATGGCGACATTCTTTAAAACGCGCCGTACCATGACGCCCATGAAAGTTAGTTCTATGCATACCCGCATTTCCTCCCTTCGTCAAGCCCATCTCGTCTTATCAATAGCTTGACGTATAAAAGGTTGTGAACTATGCACGCATGTGTAATGTACCTTGGACTCTGTTTCCTTCGCAGCGAGGAGGTTGCTGATCTCCTTGCGGGAGGCCAGCCGCTTCGGGATGCGGCCCCTGTCGTCCACCGCAGACGTGTTCGCCCCGCGACTAAATCACGTCCGTTGTCGAGGGCCGAGGAGGACCAAAAACCAACAAGAGAGAACGGGGGGTACGAGGGAAGGGATCATAGGGGGCGGGGGGGGGGGGGGGGGGG